GTGGGGGGTCTGGGTCTCCCTCAAGAGAGAGAGAGAGAGAAAGGTCTCCCTCCAGACCAGGAGCGAAAGAAGGACATGCATCAGAGCTCCGAATCATCAGGGCTGGGGGCAGTTAGGGGTAACTACAGATCTGGGCCTCGGGGGCCCAAACCAGAGTTACTCAGGACTGCAGCTGTCCCAGATAACTCGGACGTCCAACCTCCCTGGAGGCAGTTAGGGGTAACACTACATCCTCGCGCCTCGGCCTCGGGGGCCCAGCCCGGAGCTACCCTGGACCGCAGTTATCCCAGATAGTTCGGGCGTCCTGGATGGGGTCCGAGTAGATGGGGTCGGAGGATCGCGCCGCATCGCCGTTGCATCGGCGATGCGGCTCGATGCGACGCCCGATTTGATCCATGCCGACGTCGCCGATGCATCGCCGATTGCGACGATGCATCGCTGGTGCATCGCTGGTGCATCACCGATGTATCGGCGATGCGGCGCGATTCTCCGACCCCATCTCCGACCGCACCTGGTCGGCCTCCAGATAGTTCGGGCGTCGAAGTACGCGTACGTGAATCCACGTTGGTTTTGAGAGTTCGCTCTGTCGCGCTCGCGCCCCGTGCGCCGTGCGCGTTGGTCATCGCGGGCAGGGCTGGCCCTGTTCACGTGCGCGGTTGAGCGCGTACGTCCTTCGTTTGCTCCTTGGCAGAGAGCGCCGTGCACGTCAGAGGTGCATGGGCAAGATTGGAAAGCAATCCGCTATCATTATGCTGGGCCTGTCCTTCCACAGGAGGAATATTCAAAAATAGTCAAAAATGGTGTGGGGACGTCTTTTTGAGTATTTGTGTCCGTTGTGTTGCATTGTTTGACTATCTTCTGTTTTTCATCCAAGATCCTCCTGTGGGGGGACATGCCCGACCTGATAGTCTCATCATACTCCTGGCGGGGCTCTGAGCATGTAGTGCAGAGGTTTGTTTCTTCTTTTGGCCCCAAATGGGGCAAACTTTCGAGCCCCGGGACAATCAAACATGCATCCGGAATGGAAGATTACGTTCGTACCGAGGTACAAGTTCGCGGCCAGTTCGGGGAGGATGCCCTCATGTCCTTGGTGTTTGTTGGATGTTTTTGTGAATCCTGGGGTAGGGTACCCTCGAGTGGTCTGATGGTTTGGGGTGTTTTGGCTGGCGGAGGGTCTCATGTTCTTGAAGGACGTTCTTCTGTCCTGGGTCCGACCGTTCTCGCCGGGACCTCTAGGGCCGCGGATTTTGATCAAGCATGCGCACAGGTGTATGTCTGGGATGGTCGCGATAGAGATAGCGACGGGAGGTTTTTGAGCTGGCTCAGGATGGGAAGTTGGCCGTGGGTCCATGCCTCTGGGGGTCCAAGTTGTGAACACAATCGGACCCAACCTCAGAGCTCCGCGGGGTCGATCGCGCGCCGTTATCGAGAGCCCATTAAGGAGCGTGCGGACTCGCTATCGAGAGCCTATCGCCAATATGTTGGCGATATATGGTCCCGGGCTCTGGGCCCACGGGCCCCCCCCCCCAGATGGTATGGTCCCAGGATTCCGGATTCCTCGGGCCCCCCCCCCAGATGGTATGGTCCCAAAGACGACGACGACGACGACGACGACGACGACGACGACGACGACGACGACGACGACGACGACGACGACGACGACGACGACGACGACGACGACGACGACGGCGGCGACGACGACGACGACGGCGACGGCGACGACGACGACGGCTGCGGCGGCGACGACGCTGGCGGCGGCGGCGGCGACGACGACGATGACGACGATTACGACGGCGACGACGACGATGACGACGACGACGACGATGACGACGAGGACGACGACGGCGACGACGACGACGACGACGACGACCTCGGAACCACCACAGCACCACACCACATCCACAGGGGGGGGAGGGGGGGGCACCGCAGCGCAGCACCACGCCACGCCCGCCTCTGAACCACCACAGCACCACACCACATCCACAGGGGGGGGGAGGGGGGCACCGCAGCGCAGCACCACGCCACGCCCACAGGGGGGGGCGGGGGGGACCATCGCGCGGGGGGGGGGCCCAATGGCATCAGCATTGGGGGGTGGGGGGCCCAAGCCCTGGACCATATATCGCCGATGCCAGTGCGATGTCCCTCCACTGAGCTATTCGCCCCCCTTTCGTTGCCCCCCCTGAGGTGGAGCGTTCGTGTGAGAGGGGATGCTTCAGGCCAGTCCCCCTTCTTTAGTTCGAGTAGGAGATCGATTTCAAAGTTGATTTCTTCCAGAGTTGTGTTCCCCGTCGAACCTGCGACACATTACGTATTGTGCCGGGTAGATCTACAAACACCCCAAGTTTCTTCTTTGTTTCAATTTAAGAAATAAGTTGTGTGGGGTAAATGAATTATTCAGTCGATCTCTTACTCGAGCGAAAGGAGGGGGACTGGCCTGCAGCAATCCCTCCCACACGAAGGCTCCGCCCCACGGGCGGGGGGGGGGACAACGACAAGAGGGGTCGGCCTGACATCGGCGATACGTCGCCGACAGATCGGCGAGTCATCGATCTCCTGCTTGACGCGCTGGCCTGCCGAGGAGGAGCTTGTCGTGTGGGAGGGGATGCTGCAGGCCGCGCTGCGCGATGCGCGCCTGGCCTCGGAGCGCCTGCACGCCGCGCAGTCGGGCTCCACCTGTCGCCGCGGGCTGGCCGCTGGCGAGCTCGACGACATCCAGGAGCCGAGTTTGGGACGATCGAAGCGGGTACAGTGGAGGCCCATGCCAAGAAACACCCTGCTTGCCTCCAGAGTGCCCTGGGTTTCTTTGGTTTTGATGGTTTTCCTGTGGAAGGCGTAATTTTCCCACATCTCAAGTCAATGGACGCCCTGGAGTCTCAGAGTTTGGTTTCTTGTGGAAGGTTTCTTGTGGACCCGCCTCCACTGTACGGAAAGAACGGGCACAACGACCGACAGCAGTTTCTGCTCATTTTGGACCAGGCTCGCAGTCCGCGCCGCCGCGGGCGTGGCTCACTGAAGACGGAAAGCCGCCCGCCGCGGTCGCTGCCGGTGTTGGGCAACAGTTGTTGTTGAGCCGAATCGTCCTCGCTGCCTCACACATTCCCTTCAGTCAAGCAGTGGCGCAGCGTCCTGGCTTCCCTGTGGGCCCACCAAACAAGGTTTGAAGAACCTGTCTAAGTACCGGTATGCGGCTCGCACGGAATGTTCTTAGACCCTTTCTCTTTGATATTGGTTTTAATACACCAGGCTTATGTTATGAAACCTTGGTTTTGTTATCAGAACATGCTGGATTCTCAGAACATGTCTTGGTAGGCCTATAGGAGGAAGAAGTATGCACACCGCTACCCTGCGCCCATTTTCCCTTTTTGGGGGCCTCTGGGAGGCCCCCGTCGCCACCGCTGGATTCACCTTAAAATCCTGGTCAGAACGCACCCCCGGGAGAGGTCTGGGGAGTATGGGTACCTTTTGGTTTCCCCAGTTCTCTCTGCTCCCGTCTCCCCGAGGGTCGCAGATGGACGCCTCTTCTCCCTCCTCTCAGCGAGAACACAAAACCCGAACCCGAATAACACGATGAAGACATGGCCTCACCTAGATCCCCGTCCTCGCATCAGGGATGACAGATCTAGGCGGTTTTGTCTGATACGTCTGCAGGAACCCCTATGCCCCGAATGTTTCTGGCCCTCCTGACGAAGATTCCCTCCGTCGTTTCTACTCTCTCTCTCTCTCGGTATATATATATATATACACATATAGATCGGTAGATCACGCCCTCCTGTCTCCCCCCCCAGACGTGTCGGTAGGGTGGGGGGGGGGCGTTTAACATGAGACTTCATCACCATCTTTGATCTTCAGTCCTGAGGTATACGGCAGGTTCACGGATGGAGGGCCGGTCGTTTACAAAATGCGATTCTCGCCTTGGCGCCGCGCACATTCGTCTTGACATTGTGCAGCAGCTTCAAAGATGGAGCGCGGGTTGTTTTCAAAATGTGGCTCTCGGCTTAGTTCAAGCAGTCGCGAATCGCCCTGGCTTGCCTATAGGCTCACCGAATCACCAAATACTCTTCTAAGGACATGACCTGTTTTATGTCCGCGATGTGTTCTTAGATAACAGTTTATCAGCATCCGTTTATAAGGTCTTGTTTTTGCCACTTCGGAATTCATTCTTTTGCTCTACGAATTCCCCGAGGAGTACCCTTCAGTACGAGGGGTCGGTCGGTCCCTGCTCAATTCGCGCCTCCCGCATTTGTTTCAAATTGTGTCGCAGACTCTGGCTGAGGGTGCGCCGCTTTGAACATGTGATTCTCGTTGGAAAACCGCGAGCGTGTGTGTTAACCGCTTGCAGCAGCTTCACGGATGGAGGGCGCTCCTTTTTCGAAATGGCGCTCTCGCAGTGGCGCCGCGCAAACTCGTGTCCAAATTCTGCAGCCTTGTAAAGGATTCGTACGGTTGAAGTCCCAGGAATGGGGCTCCGGCGCGAGATAGGAATGTCAGGACGCAGAAGCCATGTTGATTCGATGTACTGAGATCCTAGGAGCGATTTTGTGGTACGATTGAAATTGTCAGGACGCAATTGTCACGATGATTTGCGGTGCTGATGTCGACAGAATTTCTTTCTGGCGTGATTGAGGAGTCTCATATGGTTGTGTTCAGTAGGACGCTTGTCGCTATGAAAATAAGGTCTGTCAAGGACCCCTCAGGATGGAACCTGGAGGGAGGGCTTATTGGAACTTTGCTCGCGCGCCTTTGTTTTACGCTGGCCCTCCTCCTCCCCCTCCACCTCTTTCTTCTCCTCTTTGACGTTGCGCAGCACCTGGAGCTCCTCTTCCTCCTCCTCCTCCTCCTCCTCCTCCTCGTCCTCCCCCTCCGTAGCCATATTGGCTCAAGATGCGAGACTCCTCGTAGAGTCAAGTGGATACCGCTAGTCCGCGGCAGGCTCCTTGTGTCCATTTACACCCCTGTCGGGGACGTCGCGCAGCTCCTCGGCTGTGCCATGTCGCCGTCGCGCTGGCTTGGTACCGCTGGAGGCCAGGGTGCTGAGGGGCCGCCCCCGCGCGCAGCCACTGAGCGCTCGCAGTGGTTATGCAAGTCCTGCCACACCGCCAAGGGCCAGAGGTTCTGCAACAGAGGATGGAGCCTCATCTGCGTGGGTTGCAAGCTCCACAAGAAGATCGCGGCCTTCGGCGAGGCGTCTGTCAGCGGCGAAGAGCCCTCCACCCGCGGCAGTGGTCCTGGCAAGAGCGGCAAGAGCGGCGCCATGGGCGACTTCGGCCCCTGGTAGCACGCCGCCATGGAGAAGAAACTCCGCGAGATGCAGGCCAAGCACGCCAAGGAATTCGAGCTGGCTCGCCGCCAAGGTGGTGCCAGTGGACCAAGGGCCGGCGCTGCTGTGGCGGAAGACCCCCCCGGCGACGGCGCAGGATGACGCCGCGGAAGTGGCCGCCCGGATCAAGAGGCTCTCGGCCCCGGTGCAGGCGGGCGATCTCATGGGGGACGACGAGAAGGATAATGTGCAATGTGGAAGACGGAGTTCGGCAACCTCAAGGCCTTGCGGCAGGATAATATGCCTCTCGGGAAGCGCCTCGCCGCGCGCAGCCGCGACATCAAGTGCTTGGAGGGGTTCGAGGCCACGTCCGGCCGTGACGTCGCTGCCACCGAGGCCGACATCGAGCGGCTCGAGGTCAAGCTCGGCCGCCAGCAGAAACAGCTGGCCAAGCGCACCAAGGACCTGGCGTCAGCGAAGGCCCTCCTGGGCGACCTCGGCCAGCAGATGATCCAGGGGGGCAAGGAGGCGGAGGTCATCCGAGTCCTCGAGGACGTGGTCGCGAAGCTCGAGGGCCACCTGTACAACGTGGGCCTCGACGGGGCGAAGGCCGTCGAAGTCGGCCAGTTGTCCCTCCAGGCTGAGGAACGCCTCTTCCAGAAGATTTCGGAGGCCAAGTTACAGCGCCCCAGTGCCCCGCACGCGAGGCCGCCTGCCCCGCGCCCAGTGCTTGCGCAGATCCCCGCGGCTACGGCGTGGGATACGACTGCCTCGAGCCGTGCCTTCCTTCAGTCCCTCGGCCACCCCATCCCCGAGGACGACGCGGGGGCCCGCGTCGCGGCCAAGCGCGTCACGGGGCCTCTTGGGGGCCTCTTGGGGCCATCTTGGGGCCATCCTGGGACCTCTTGGGGCCTCCTGGGCGCTTCTTGGGGCCATCTTGGAAGAGATCGATCAAAGAAGTGCGGAGCATTAGTTAGCTTCGCCCCCCCCCCGGGCCAAAATGGGGCCAAAACCGTAGTACAATCAATGATTTTGGCTTTCTCGCCGAGGCCGTTTTGGACGCTCTGGCACCGCGCGCCCCCTCCCCTCCAGGTCCATGGGGAGGGGGTAGGGGGAGGGGTAAACCCCTCCCCGAAGGGGAAGAAGGAGGGGTGGAAGAGGAAACGCCCTAAATCACCGACGCCCAGAGGGCTGGTGGGATTAAGAAGATGATGGTGCTGATGATGACGATGATGATGACGATGATGATGATGACGATGATGGTGGTGATGATCATGATGATGATGATGCTGATGATTATGGCGCTGCTGATGCTGCGGATGATGGTGATGATGATGGTGGTGATGATGATGATTGTGGTGGTGGTGGTGATGATGACCATGATGACCATGAGGAGGAGGAGGAGGAGGAGGAGAACAAGGAAAAGGAGAAGAGGAACGAGGCAAGCTTAGGACACATGCAAATCCCTCCTGAGCATCCCGAAGCGCTCTGTGGTGGCCTCCGCGTCCGATACAGTCAGATCACAGATATATTTGACTTAACTCGCTCTTGTGTTTCCTCGTCCCCCTTGCCTTCTCCTCTCCTTATACTTCTCCTCTCTGTCGTCGTCGCCGACCTCCTCCTCCTCGTCCTCCTCCTCCTCCTCCTCCTCCTTCTCCTCCTCCTCCTCCTCCTCCTCCGCATCTTCTTCCTCCTCCTCCTCCTCCTCCTCCTCCTCCTCCCCCTCACATCCTGCTACTCCTCCTCCCTCTCCTCCTGCTCCCCCCCCTCCCCCTCCCCTTTTTTCTTTCTACCTTCCGTCCTCCCCTGCCCGTGCCGCTCGGCTTTTGGCCTGTGCCTTGAAACGCGCCCTCGTGCTGGCACCGGCCTGGCCGGTGTTTTGCTACAGTCGAGACTGATGAGTCGGTCGACCTTGCCATGCCGTGTGTTCGGTCGCTCGTTTCCGGTGCTGTGGAGGGCGCGTCTCCGCCGCCCGCGAGCCCTGCCTCTCTGCTGGCAGACGCAGGTGCAGCGCCCTCGCCGCGGGGCTCTCGATAGGAACGCCCCCCTGCACGACGACGTCGTGGAGTCTGCTCGATCTCGTGCTTCGTCAAATCTGCCAACACCTCCGCAGGGTCGACCCTTATGATATGTCCTGGCTTTCGCGTCCCATTCCTGCTGCATTCCTATGGTAACGTGGCCCTCGCAAGGGTCTAGTGTCCTCTCGCGTGTCTTCTCCAATCTCCAATCAACCCCGACTGTACCCGAGGCCCAGCGCTCCCCGCGCAGTCGCAGGCTCCAGCCCTGGCTCTTGTCTGGGCCGCACGTGCGATGCATGCAGCCTGCCAGTGCGCCGTCCAGGCGCGACCTCTGCCCGTTCGTTCGGTTATGTGGAGGAGGGCCTGCTCTCGGGACAAGTCGGGCGGGCCCAGGACCGGGATAACTCTCTCCGAGAGCGTTCCAGGACGCTCTCGGTGCATTCTGCAGCGCTCTGGAATGGCCGCGGCGCCTGATGCGCCCTCCAGATCCTCGGGATCCCAGGGGTCCCCGATCCGCTCTGGCCCGATGTGGTCCCCTTCCTGATGGGCCGCGATACATTTGGGGGGGGGGCGAGAAGATGGGGGCAGCGATTGCTGCAGAAAAGGAGCCCTTGAGGGCCCTTGAAGGGGCCCTTTAGGGCCCGAAAGGCGCCTCTTAAGGCACGACAAGGCCCATCTTTCGCCCTCCCAACATTCGCGCCCAATCCTGGCCTCGCCTTGCGAGGAGTGCGACGACGAGGACGGGGCGCTGGCGCTGCCGGCGTGCGCCGCGGCCGCGCACCTCGGCGAGGAGGTGCGCGCGCTCGCGCTCGCCGTGAGCGCCGAGGCGCAGGCCCTGCGCCAGCAGTGGCGCGAGGCGGCGTCCGCCGCCGCGCCCAGCGGCGCGGCGCCCGCCGCAGCGGCCGGCGGCGCGGCGCCCGGCGGCGCGGCGCTCGGCGCAGCGCCTGGCGGCGTCCGGCGGGGGCGGCCGCGGCCGTGCCTGCAGGGCGTGTGCGCGGGCCTGTGCGGCAAAGAGCGTTCCGCGGTGCTCGGGCCACGCGCAGAGGGGGGTAGTGACTCCGAGCTTCTGAATGTAAGCGTCGGGGGGGCGTCACCCCCGCCGAGTCCCACAACGACCCCCGTCGCGGGTAGCCACCGCGCGCCGAAAGCGCTCCGACCCGCGTCACGGCGCGACGACGAGGCGAGGTTGACCCCCGTCGGGGGGGTCCCCCCCGCGCTTATTCAGAAATCCAGAGTAGGGGCAGGGATGAAGGTTTCTTAGGAGGATACTGCTTCTTGGAAGGCGCGGCCCTTGTCGATGGATGGAAGGCCGGCGCCCTCTAAGGAGCAGCCTCATTCGAAGAAGCCTTTCCCCCTCCCCTCTGCGCGCCGCCACTCCCAGACCCTCTCGCGTCGTGAACAAACCCAGGACGGCAAGGTTTGCCCTTTTTTGACCTTCGGGGGCCGTACCAGGTCTCGGGACCGTCAGAAAACGACTCAGGATGAAAAGACAGTCTTGGGGAAGGGGTCCAAACCTCTGGGGGTCGACGTTGTGAAAAACACGACGTCGGGGGTCTGGGCTCCGCCATGAGATTGTCGGCTGCGCGTAGGAGTGACTTTTCGCTGGTGTTACCTCTGGCGCTCTCAGGGTGGCCCCAGCACTGGCCCGCGCGCCCGGATTTGGACCCTTCGCGGTCCCCTAAAGCCGCGCGCCAAAAGTCATTATTGCCTAGGGTCACTCTTGCGTGTCGTCGAGATTGTTTCTTATTCGTTGGCGCGTAACGTCCGTGACGGGGAGGTCGTCCCCCCCGTCATGGTAATCGGCGTACGGGCACGAGGGGGGCCGGCCACCCAACAGCTATGGCGCCGTGCTCACAGGCATGGTGTGGTGCTGACAGGCATCGGATAGCCTACAGACGCCTCCAGAGCTTGCCGTCGTCGCCGCCACCGTCGTCGCCGTCGTTGTCCTGTCGTCGTCCTGTCGTCGTCGTCTTCGTCGTCGTCCCCAACGTCGTTGTCGTGTCATCACGTCGTCGACATCATCGTCTTTGAGTTCGTCGTTCCGTAGCCATTTTGGCTCAAGGGGCCTTTCCCTGAACTTCCCAACCTCGCTCGAGGCGCCTGGTGGCCAGGCACCAAGGCCGGGAGCGGACGCGCTCCCCTGGCCCCGCGGGGCCGCTCTCCCTCGGACCGCCGCGGCCGCGCCTTCCTCCCCTCCCTGGCCATGCCGTCTGAAGATAGCTGGCCTGAATCGCTCGTTTCCACTCCGCCAGCCTCCACTCCGCCTGCATCCCCTGGAGGTACGACCATGGAGGGAGAGAGGGACACGGAGAAGATCCTCGTTGCCATGCGTGATATGATTGCTCCTCTGTCGTCGTCGGTCGCCAGCCTGTCCAGTCAGTTGAATCTCGGCGTGCAGGAGATAAACCAACAGATCTCGGGAATCCAGGGTCAGATGATCGCAGCTGAGAAGAATTTCCAGACCCTACAGCAGGCACACACGGAACTGGCAAAACAGACGGCATCGAATTTCGAACAGATGCGTGCGATCCACGAACAGGCCCTCCTGTAGTGCATTCAGGACCGTGAAACAGCCGAATCTGCCCTTCGGGATGAGCTCAAAGGAATAATCCAGACGATGCGTGACGAGATCCAGGATATTCAGAAAGTCGTCGAGCTTGGGGCCCCGACACCTCGTGGGGAAGAAGAAAGGCAAGTCCGCCGGAAGGTTGAATCCGGGCTTGTGGGTAACCCCCCCCGCCTCGTGGTGCTTGGATTTCCACGGCCGCTGATGGAGAAAACGCTCCGTGAAGCCGTCCAGAGCATCATTTCCCGCTGTGCTCCGTCCTCGTCTCAGGGTTCGATCCATATCAAGGCCTTCGATTGCAGTAAGAAAGTATTCCTGGACTTTGATTCCAACCTAGAGGCTTCCACGTTCCATGGGATGGCGTCGTCCGTGGGCGCGTTCCCTTTCCCGAACCCTGAGGGCGGCCCCGACTTGCAGCTACGGGTCCGACGCGATATTCCCCCCTCTTTCTGGAAGCTGTTCTACTATCTCGGGAATGTGCGACAGCATGTCTCCAGAATACAAAGTGGGGTCCACGGGACTAGGAGGTGCAGTGCATGTGATGAAGGACAACGGAGTCCCCGTGCCAGTGGTTAAGATTTCTATTGTTGATGATGGCCCAACCGCGGGTACCGCGCAGCGTGGCGTCGAGATCGATGGGTTGACGGAAGTGGGAGGGCAGCAGCATGCGCAGTGTCTGCGCGCCAGGTTCGCAGAGATCCGCCCCTTCCGGTGAGTATCCGAACAGTTCGACAGGCGAGTGCGCGGCGGGGAGAAGTCCAGTGGGTTCTGCTACTGAGTGCTCGTCCGCCCTCTCCGCCCAGTTTGACGCACTCCATGCCAGTGACAGCGCTTTATCCTTCTCGCCGCCTGCTGGGGAAGCTGGTGGTGTTTACCGTCCTGCCCGTCCTCTGTCTCTCTGCAGTTGGAACACGCGCGCGCTCTTCGCCTCTCTCTCTCTCTCTCTCTCT